ATAGATGAAGACGTATTGTGTGTGTTTTTGTCAATACCTGATTCAAGGGGTCTAATTCAAGGCCTAGTCATTATGTCCCTCAGGTGGTGATAAACTCACTAAGGAAAGGTTCAAAGCCGGAAGTTACCTCTCCTAAATTCACGATACGAAAGGTTGCCCAACCTATATCTGTTTTATGATTTCTTAATTTATTTATTGATTTCTGAGTTTTCAGTCAATATTGCCTTTTTTTTTGGGGGGGGGGGGCCTCTGTTGGATATTTATTAAGAAAAGGCAATTTTGCCTTTGTGTTTTAGTCCCACATCGAAAAATTAAAAATAATTATCTCTCCCTCAACCCTATAAATACACCCTTTTTTCACATTCCAAAATGATAAGAAAATAAAGCCTTTTCTCTTCTCATCTGGTTTTAAAGAAATTGCTTTTTCCCCTCTATAATTTTGTTATTAATTTTATGGGCAATCTTCTTTATCTGAGCTGAAGCTCTGTACTCTCGCCCGAGTAGGGAGGCCGACCGTTTTTTAGGGTTTTTACCGCTAGGGGGGGGAACCATTTACGGCAGGGCGATAGACGGGTTGTCAATCTTCTAGGACAGTGATTACATGACTGCTCCCGTCAGGCCTGATTTTCTTATCTCTTACTTTTTTTAATTCGAATTTATTTTGTGCTATAATCTTGTTTTACAGATAATTTCCAACACTACGTAGGGTTTTTTTTTCCATATAAACCACCTTAAAATATACTAATTTATAGAAATCAGTTTTAATTTTTAATTTATATATAAACTAACTTTAAAGTGGATATTTGTTGCAATCAACCACCTCCAATCAAAAATTTCACTGAAAATCTATAATTACCCTTAAAAGATCACTTTCAAGGCACATGACTCATTTTTTTGTGAGATAAAATTTTAAAATAGAACATGTTAAAACTTTATTTGTAAAAATCGACCCATTTGTAATTTATTCACCATTTTCGACGTGGTTTCAGCCGACTGGCTGAAACTGGATCGAAAATAGTGAATAAAACTTCACGGGATTCTAATTACCGTGAAGTTTATGTTGGGCTCTGATACCACTTGTTATGTGTGGCGGAATCCAAAACCAAACCGATGTGCTTCGAGAGACCAAATCAAACAAACGCCGAGAGAAGGCCAAACAATGCAAAATAATGGTACAAACTCAAACAAGCAATTTTAACGTGGTTTGGTAAGTTGCCTACGTTCACGGGGTAAGAAGGGAATGAGGTTTTCACTAATAGAGAAGAAGAGTACAAACTAAGATTATAAAATCACACAAACTCACCAATTAATCTCACCAACAAAGCTCTAATTCTCTCCAAACAAAATCCTAACCAATAGCTCAGAAAATACATCATTTCTATTCTCCAAATATCTCTAATTCACTGCTCAATTCTCTCGTCAAATCGTTCCATATATATAGAAATCCTAAAACCAAAAACATACTAGGAATTTTAAAACAAAAAACAAAACAGATTAGGAATCCTAATAGTCTGTTACCAAAACAGATTTGGAATCCTGTTACTAAAACAGATTAGGAATCCCATAACATATTACCAAAACAAATTAGGAAATATATTAGGAACATGCTATCTAACAATTCTCCACATCGGCAAAGTTTTTCCAAAACCGAGCTGACACTAATACCAACCAAACGTCTTACTTGTTGCGTCCAGTACGAAGTGGAATAAATCCACGATAACGGACTCAATCCACAATAAGTCAAGAACCCAAATGAGAATACAAACAAACTCCAAATATCGGTATCAACTCGCCAAACCGGCTGCATCATAAATGACTACTTACGTATCCTCTTACCCAATGAGTCAAGCATTCACGTAGTTCACCAAATGACCTCCAAAAGCCCTCAATCAACTAGAAGGATTCTTAATCCTTCACGATCATCACCAACAAATCTGCAGCTGATAGCTTTTCCAATGGCACCAAAATAAAACGAACTAAACACCTCTACCTGAGGTGAACCAACGACCATAGCCAAATCCAAACTGTATCCACCAGCTACACTCAAATCAACCAACTTATCATCTGTATCCAAATCACCATGATCCCCAAACTGTGTCACCTCAGCTGGATACCTAAACGATGCAGAATAATCTGGAGTATGTGGAGTAATCTTCACCCAACGTGAAGTAACATCACTCTCCACCCGCTATGATATCCTAATGATCTGATTAAACTCTCCACCTGCTGAGAGTCAAAAGTGACATACCTGATCAGAACCAAATCAGAGTTTCCTAACTGATAACCAAACGAGCCTCTGAATCCCAAATGTACAATAGGATCAAACCTCACATCCTCGATGTGATCAATTGTTGGGCAACAATACATCCGACACAACCCAAAATCTAAAGCATCTCCACCAGATTCAAAATCTCTAAACGCAGCAGTCGGCAACCTATGACTAAGATGACACAAATATGTTGAAGCTCTAAAACTCCTCTGCAATTCAATGCTTGATAACCAACGCTGATCCTCCTCCAGTAAGAAACGACCCATCAAAACTATCTTCTCATCTCGTCGCCCTAATGTTTTCTCTTCAATGAAGTGTCTCAAACTGCCGTGAGCTCGGCACAAATGCAAGAAAGAACCCCTACCAAAAACAGAACGACGGGTTACCTTTCTACCAATACACTTCCTCTATCTGTTGTTGACTTCTAGGACTTCATACCAACGGGACTTGGTTGTAACCTACCAATGCTTAGAACAGTCCTCAACTACGAAAACCAAATACCGATTACCTTCCAATGATGCCTACTTGGAATGTCCCTAAATGCCTGAATGAACACCACCTAGAAGACCTCTCAATTGTCGAATAGAAGTGCCAAACTCTACTCTATTTCCTTGGTCATACCAATGTGCTCAAATGACTTCAATATGCAGGTCAAGGTACTTCTTAATAATCCAATATCCTAGCCTCAACTCCTTCTTTCTCGGCCATCTATCTCAAAACACCAACAAACCAATACGAAACAAATAAAGAATAGATCTAAACTGATAAAGGAGAGATTTTTACCTTCAATTGAAATCTTAACAAGAGTCTCCGAAAGATCTCACCCCACACGATAGAAACGAGATCCACAAATAGAAAAAATCCCAGCTTTATCACCAACCGGAGCTCTAGACGAACTTCCAAAATGATCTACTCCTCCAAATAGCCCAAGCGTAGCCCGAGCTCTGATGCCACTTGTTGGGCTCTGATACCACTTGTTATGCGTGGCGGAAGCCAAAATCAAACCGATGTGCTTCGAGAGACCAAATCAAACAAACACCGAGAGAAGGCCAAACAATGCAAAATAACGACACAAACTCAATAACCAATTTTAACATGATTTGACAAGTTGCCTACATCCACGGGATAAGAAGGGGATGAGGGTTTCACTAATAGAGAAGAAGAGTACAAACTGAGATTACAAAATCACACAAACTCACCAATTAATCTCACCAACAAAGCTCACCAACAAAGCTCTAATTCTCTCCAAACAAAATCCTAACCAATAGATAAAAAAATACCTCTTTTCTGTGCTCCAAATATCCCAAATTCCCTATTCAATTCTCTCTTCCAATCGTTCCAAATATCCCAAATTTGACTTAGAGGTAGTTGATTACAATAAAAACCTACTTTAAAAGTGATAAATGTCTAAATTAAAATTAAAAGATGATTTAATTCTTACAATTAGCATATTTTTATGGTAGTTTCTAGAGGGGGAAAAACCCTTTGTTTTCTATCAAATTCTTCATTCATATACATTATCATAAAAATATTGGAAATGCATTTTCTTTTGCCTTTTTAAAAGATTTTAGAGGAGGGCTTAGTAAAAAAAAAATGCACCTATCTCAATTTTCAGCTAGAATATCTTTTTATTTTAAGTGGAGGGAAACATTTACTGTCTCATGTAACATTACAACTATTTTTCTCTATCCGTATTGTCAAGAATTACAGTACGTGTTTCCCCCCCTCTAGCTAATAATTAACTTTTCAAAATGTTTTGGAAGAGATATCTTCTTTTTAGAAGAGAAAATTTAACATAACAGGTGTGGGTCATTAGAAACAAACTAACATAATATCTCATTTTTCACTGGGGGATATCTTTCTTTTTTATGTCGAGGGACATATTTACCATCTCATGCAGCAATATTACAACCCTTTTCCACAATCAACATTGGCAAGAAGTACTTTAAGACAACTTTTTGCTAACAACTTATCAAGATGTGTTTTCTTAAGTAAACAAAGTTTAGCATATATAAATATATTGGTCATTGGAAAACAAATTAAATTACCTCTTTAAGCATGGTTTTGTCTTGGTTAGGCTCCACTTGATCACTGAACAAAGCAATATATACTAAGAGTTCGAGAAGATTGATGTAGGAGCCCAAAAACAATTACATGGTGGTAGTAGCAACATCACAGTCGTTTCTGTTCCATCTCTTAGATTCCATAGCCAAAATAAAGAGACATGCATATCTCTTCTTTGAGCAAGAGGGGGATCAAAATGTGAATTTTTCTCTAGCTAAAAGAAAATTTATAAAATTGTAGACAATAACTCGAGGATGGAAGTAAACGGAGGTTGCTTTTGGTTTTGTGGGGCAACAAGAGCACTAGCCAAGGGGGAAAAAAAAGAGAGATTGTATGTTGTGGTTCAAACCCTTGTAGCTAAACCCTCCCTCTCTATCCACACAAAGCTACTAATTGCAAGTGCGCCAAGAGCAAGGCATGTTCCAAGATTCCGTCCTCTTTCATGCTCTTGCCAACCAATCTTTGAATTCCACATAATTTTATTTTTAATTTTCTTGCCCTTGCCAAAACAAGTTGCATGATACGCATATCGAAACTAGGGAATACTATTTTTAATTTCTAGTGCGTAGTGGGGGTCCTTTTGGTAGAGGCCAAGAGCTTGTAGCGAGCCTTTGCTTATAAAAGGACATTCACCGCTTGTTATTTGAATCAATAAGAGTTTGCGAGAGTTAGAGCTAAGGGATCTCTCTCTAGTATCCTAATTGACCTTCTCACTTGCTCTTCAAAGCCTTTTCCTCTAGTGTTTGTAATTTTGCAAACAACAGCATCAATGGTTTGTGCTACTTAGCTTCTCCTTCTCTTAATGTTCGTTTTATGCTCTCAATGAGCATTGTTCTTTATTCATTGATGATACTCATAACTCTGAAATATGCAAACCTACAATTTTCTTGTGTTATGTTAGACAACTATATATACTTCTGCTTCCTCTTTGTCTTCCTCTTCGCGTATGTATATTCTGTATGATTTCCTCTAGTTAATAAATTCTCTGTGCGTCTTGCGTGGATACTCGAAAAAATTAATACAAAAGGAATAAATTAAGGAATAATTTTCTTTTCTTTTCTTTCTCTATATCCATACTTGAGATCCGATTAGCATCATGGTTCTTCACTTACGTCACTTCAATGTTTATTTATTTATTTATTGAATTCTTGAGTTTATGATTGCTGTGATTATTCATAGGATGAGAAGATGAGTTGGGCGGTGTCAGATGCCGTGGATTACAAGGGATTTCCTGCAGACAGATCCAAGACTGGTGGTTGGGTGCCTGCAGCTCTTATATTAGGTTATAATCCAACATTTTTATTTTCTCCATATATTTTCTTGTCTCTAGTACATCCATCTCTTTCTCTGACTAACATTTCTTGTTAATTAACAAAAAAAAAGCTAGCATTTCTTGTTTGGACTAATTCCAATGTTTTATGTAAACATGTCTTTAGGAAGATGGTGAACAGGAGATTTCTATGTTAATTAAATAGCTTACTATTGTTGTTAATGAATCTAATATGCATGATATCCTTTGGCGCAGAAATTTGATTAGTCTTCATTTTTAACGGAAATTAACCTGTTTTATTACGGAAATAAGAAAGGAAAAAGTACAGGCTCTTGATACCTTTCTTCCAACCCCCACCCCTCTAATTTTTTTATTATTAATGATGTATGGTTTCTAAATTGTAAGTATTAGGCATATATATCATGCCTCACAAACTGAAAGAATTTTATATCAAGTAAAGTTTTTTTTAAATAAAAAGTACAAATTGAAAAGTTCCTTGGTTTCATTCAGCTTCATTAATTAGATTATAATGAAACAAGATACAAACACAAAGACGCATAATCCAAACTTAAATGACACTTTGCATGCCTAAACCCTAATTGTCCAGTTGCTAGATATCCAGTGGGGCTCTTTCACGCACGCATCATGTTACTCATGTTCCCAATATGTGGTGACCTACAGCTCTACTATTCCCCTAGATTACCATATACGGATTCTCTCCCTCTCTCTCTCTCTCTCTCTCTCTCTCTCTCTCTCTCTCATGTTGATCAAAGTACAAGCACAACTTTTACAGTATTAACTTCATCTACAATTGAATATTGTAACAGGTATTGAAATATGCGAGAGGCTGTCGACAATGGGGATCGCCGTGAATCTGGTGACGTACTTGGTCGGCACAATGCATGTCCCCAGCGCAGAGTCGGCCAACGTCGTCACAGACTTCATGGGCACATCTTTTCTCCTCTGCTTGCTCGGTGGATTCATTGCAGATTCATTCCTTGGGAGATATCTCACTATCGCCATTTTTGCCGGTCGTACAATGGCTTAGTAAGTCTAAGAGCCACCGTCCATGTATCGTATCGCGATAGCTTGGATGGATCTCATGCTTAGGGCTGGCAGATATTCCCCCGCCCCCCCCCCCCCCATGCAAGTATCAATTGTTTTTCGAAGCTCACTATCAAGTTCGATTTTGGTGCAGGCAGAACGCCCTGAGTGAATTTTTTTACTCTTTTACCCTCAAAATTGACAAATAAAACCCCCCGAGGGTAAAAGAGTAGAAAAAAAAGTCACTCAAGGGCCTGTCTGCAAAAATAAAGCTGAGGGGTAGTAAATCCGAAACAGCCACACTTCAGGGGCTCTATCCGCAACTAACCCCTTATTTGATCGCGCACACGCGCGATTTCATCATTCATCAGAAATGTAACAGTCACTGTCTTTTCTTCAAAAAAAAAAAAAAAAAGAATTACTCTAGATGTCATTCAAGCTAACGTTACTGCTGCCTAAACACGGATGGCAGGGCAACAGGAATGCTAGCAGTCGCAACAAAGCTGGCCGCAGCTCGGCACCACCATGCACCGGGTCGACAGCGCAGTTGCTAAGCCAAGGCAACCGGTTTCCAAATGGGCATCCTGTACATGAGCTTATATCTCATAGCTTTGGGCACCGGAGGCCTGAAATCGAGCGTCTCGGGGTTCGGCACCGACCAATTTGATGAGAAGGACCCAAAGGAGAAAACCAAAATGACGTACTTCTTCAGCAGGTTCTTCTTCTTCATCAGCATGGGCACTCTCCTCGCCGTGACCGTGCTCGTCTACATTCAGGATGAGGTCGGCCGAAGCTGGGCTTACGGAATCTGCTGCATCTCAATGGTGCTTGCCATACTCGTGTTTCTCTCAGGTACGAAGAGGTACAGGTACAAAAAGAGTGTCGGAAGCCCTGTAGTCCACATCCTGCAGGTTATTGCAGCCGCCATAAAGAAGAGAAAGCTCAAGTATCCAGCAAATGTTGGTTACCTGTATGAAGATCTCCCTGAGGGTTCAAGAATCCATCACACTGATCAGTACTGGTATGAATTACAGCAAAATTGGTAAGAATTAGGCTGATGTAGTAGCACTCTAAAAATCTGTTTGTTGTGACCGGCCAGTTTCCTCGACAAGGCTGCGATTGTGGAAGAAGGCGACTTTGACGGGCCTCACGGGGAGAGCATGAGCCCAAACCCCTGGGAGCTGTGCTCGGTGACCAAGATCGAGGAGGTGAAGATGATGATCAGGCTGCTTCCTGTATGGGCTACAACGATCCTGTTCTGGACTACGTACGCTCAAATGATCACCTTCTCGGTGGAGCAGGCAACGACCATGCATCGTTCGATAGGGAGCTTTCGGATTCCTGCAGGATCTTTAACCGTCTTCTTCGTCGGTGCAATACTCATCTCTCTAGCCGTATATGATCGTGTGATCATGCCCTTGATGAAGAAGTGGAAAGGCAAACAAGGTAGCAATACGCTTTAAAAAAAAAAATAATTGTTGGGCTCTCTTTCATATCCTCTGCTGAAATATACCATGTTTTTAATACCTGACAGGCTTCAGCGACCTGCAAAAGATCGGAATCGGGCTGACTCTCTCGCTGATAGGAATGGTGGCAGCAGCGATAGCAGAAGCAAGGAGGCTAGCCGTTGCAAAGCATCATGGGGCTACTGATACTCTGCCCATCACTGTCTTCACTCTAATCCCCCAATTTTTCTTGGTAGGTGCGGGTGAGGCCTTCATATACACAGGCCAGCTCGACTTCTTCCTTACTCGATCACCAAAGGGGATGAAAACCATGAGCACAGGGCTTTTCTTGACCACACTCTCGCTTGGTTTCTTCTTCAGCAGTGCACTTGTTACAATTGTGAAGGGTGCAACTGCAGGAGGTGGAGATGGACAGGGATGGCTCGCTGATGATATTAATCTCGGGAGGCTCGATCTCTTCTACTGGCTTCTTGTAGTTCTTTGTGCAGTGAATTTGGTAGCTTACCTTATAACCGCAGCCTGGATCAAGCCACAGACACCTAAAGACAATGTGGAGACCATGATGATAAGCTTACCTGCAGAAGAAAAATGCTAGGGTAAAGGGAGAGAAAACAATTACATTTTTTGATGTAATTGTTACATAATGGACTGAGTCGAGGGGTAAGTGAAAATAATAACTAGCAGCAAAAGCTTGGAGCTTAGGCTCCAGGCTGATGTTTAATGTACAGTTGTGAAAATGTTTGCTTTAAGTTAATTGATTGGGGGTTTGGGTTTATTTTCTTCCTTGCTTTATTTGTTCAAGTGTTTCTGTTAGCATTGGAAACTAGATTCCTGTCAAAGTTGCGATCTCTTGCCCAAAAATCTCATGAGCTTTGAGCATTTTAGGTTTATAACTCACCAATCCAACATATTTAGAGAAAATATATACTTCATTATTCAAGGAGAAAAGAAAGAAAAGGCTAAATGAGTCCTCTTGTGTTGCATTGTTGATCTTAGCCGCAAGGTTTCATCAGAATAATCCTAATAAATAAAGGGCAACGGTGGGAGGCCACGCGCGCGCGAGTTCGAAGTCGGGCTATGCACCTTTATTCCAAAAAAAAATATATATATATATACAGGATATCAGGATTTTACATGAACAGAGCGCACAATGATATATTTGCTGGAATAGTAATAATAATTTGCCCTTGAACATCCAATACAAATTATGTAATAATATTTTAATGTTAATAAATTTAATTGTTGCACATAAATTGGGTATTATTTATATAATCGTTATATATATCCTTAGAAGTTATTTTGTTAGATCATGCACTGTGATAGTCACTTGCTTGGAGATATGATCTAACTTAGAAATTTCTTAAATTTGTGCTTAACCTATAACTAGTAAAGGATAACTTTGTTATAACAGGTTATTATGCATGACACCGATATATGAGATATGGTGGTGGGTCTCAACCATCGGGAATGGAGATTCTCCAAGTGTATGTCATAAGCACGCATTATGATGTGTGTAGCACTAGACCGTATTTAAATTCTCTAGGAAGAGTCACCTAAGAGATAGAGAGTTCAAATTGTTACATGGTCCCTTTGACTTGATGATATTGTTATTTTCGATTTGATAATTTAGTATGCTTTGATGTGATGGTTAAGCTTGTTTAGCAAGCGCTACACAACCTGAAACATTGGGTTACTAAATTTCATTTAGGAAAATGATGGATGTCTAGATAGGATCCAGTATGCTCATTATGATGAGTTAATTTATTATGCATTCCCATGAAGCTATTAAATTCCTGCCGGCAGGTGGTTTTGAAAATATTTTTTAAAAATTTATTTTCTTATAAAAATAAAATATTTTGATGTTTCAAAATGTTTTTTATTTATGTTCATGGGAATTGCAAATTTAGACATGAGCAAATAGGTGAGTTGTCCTACTTAAAAGAGTTGCCTAGAATAAATGATACTGGAAGGGATTGAATGTAAGATATTATTTATTAATAATTAATCCCATATTATGGAAGAGCTTTTATGAACAATTGGTCGGATAGGGATTTGATTGTTAAATTAAAATTATTAATTTGATTAATAATTGGTTCTCGATATGGGACCCAATTGGTCTCACTAATGTCATTAGAAGAGGTATACATGCAATACAATTCTATTTCTATCCTTAATTGTTATGGATAAAGTTTTTGAATAAATCTATTTCTATCCTTAATTGTTATGGATAAAGTTTTTGAACAAATCTATTCTATCCTTAATTGTTATGGATAGAGTTCTAGATAATTATGAATTGTTTAAAGTTAAAATCTCTAAGACTAGTATAATCCTATAAATAGAGTTCATATGTAGCCTTATGAAAATAAAAAGAGAAGAGATTCAAAATCTTATGAAGATAATATGAAGAAATAGATTTTTGAGAACCTATCTCTCAGTATTGCTCCTCTACGGTGACGGGTGGATTTTAATTGGAGGCTTTTTCTCTTGAGGAAGCTATTTTGGATTGATCTCGGGACAGATTATTGTAGAAATTCGGAAAGCGTTTCAGGTATTCTTCTAATATTTAATTAATTTTGATTAATAGTCATGATATACTTTTTCCGTTGCGTTGTATGTCATGTTTCCAACAGATGGTATCAGAGCGGGTTTAGAATCCAATCTGTAATAATTTAATAAGATTAAATTATTTTTTTAATTCGGGTTACTGTTCATCGGCGAATGTTACTGTTCATGGCCGACACTGATCACCGGCTATTGTACTGTTCATCGCCGGCTGTTCACGAAAGGTACTACTGTTCAATGCCGAGAACTGGTCACGACAGTCGGTACTGTTCATTGGTGACACTGTTCATTGCCGAGAACACTGTTCACGCCGGATGTACTGTTCTTCCGCCGGAAATACTGTTCATCAGGGTTACTATTCATCCCAGTTTAATTTGTTAAACTAAAATTAATTAGATTAAATTAAAAGTTTGATTAGATCGAACTATGGTGTTGTTGTTCAATGGTTATGATTATTTGATTGGATTAAATTAAAATTTTGATTAAGATCAAGTTTAGGGCTCGGGTTACTGTTCACATTCTCGGATTACTGTTCATCCGCAAAAAAAAAATTTGCTTGTTTTTTATAGAGATCAATTGAGGGTTTTTGATATGATCATGGTTATGTTTCTTTGATTAGATCAAGTATTTTGGTTATTTAATTTGATTAGATGTGATCTAATTAGATGTTTTAACAATAATAAACAAAAAAGGAAAATTGGGATGATAGCCGGCGAGGTTGACACGCCGGAGATCGGCTTATTAGACCCCTGATTGATCCAGAAATTGTTCTGAAGTCCATCAGGTTCTCAAACACGCTATCAAATTAGTTATAGCTCCCTGAAAAACCCAGAAACTGTTCTGGAGTCTGTGAATATTGATGAATTGCTATCAGACCCCTGTTTGATTCAGAAACTGTTTTGAAGTCCACCAGTATTGATGAATAACTGTAAAATTAGTTACAGACCCCTGTTTGATCCAGAAATTGTTCTGAGTCTACTAGTATATTAATTTTGATGTGAAATTAGCTTCACCCTCCTGATAGATTTTGAAACTGTTTTAAGATCCATCTGAATATATAGACTAATTTTTGATTAGTCCCTAGCACTTACAGAATTTGTTCAAAAGTCCATATGCATGTATAGTTTAGTTTCCTTTGTTGAAAAGATTATCTAACTCTTAGTGAATTGTTAGAAATGATATTGTATCATGTATATTTCTGAAATATTATTTGTATTATACTTGTGATATGATCATGTTGATTTTAAATTGTTTAAATTCAATAATTCATGTGATTAAAGTAATACATGAAAAATTACTGTAAGGTCCAGAATTGTTCTGAATTTGTTTTATTAAATAAGACAGTTTAGAATTTATTAGAAATTGACTGTTGTTATTTTCTCTCAGTTATAATAAATAACAAAAGTTGTATAGAAGTGTAGATAGATTAATTTTTTAAGAAATATAAATCTAAAGGTCTTCCATCATAGAGATATAACTTAGATAATAATTTTTTAACTTATCTGATGCCACAAAGGATAGGGTTTGTTAAAATTTATTATCTAGTTATACCTCGCATAAGGATGCCAAGTATTTTATGTATAATGGGACCACTAGACTAAAATAGGTAGTGCCACCTGTTTTATATAAAATAGCTGGATTGATGGGTTAACACTTCATTGATGTCTTGGGGTGCTCGCTAAAATAGTGGGGCACATCTTACATCAAAGACCAAAATTTAAAGGAAAATCGTTAATTGTTAATGATTGAATAGATGATTCTACCTTGTTTAATTATATTCGATCTTGAAAATCTGGAGGTTTATAATTAAACTTGGATTTCCTGTTCACATTTAAATAAATGAGAGAAATGTTAAATGTGAAATCATTACTTAAAATATCCCTGTAATGATTGTGCAATAATAAAATAATAACTTACAATATTTGTGTTATTATATTCTGCTTGTACATGATGACTAAATTTTGTCATTTTGATATGTTATTGAATGATTATAAATTAGATAGCCCGAACTGTTGGATTGGAAAAGAAATCTATTTAATTTTCAAATGCTGAATGTTTGGCCTATGATTGTCTAAGGTGACATACCCGCTTAACCAGATGTAACTGATGATAAAGATCATCAATCATAATCCTGCTTAAAGATAATAATGATAAAAGTAATGTTCATAAGATGAAAACAGATATATATTTTCATATGATGTTTTGATATATATTGACAAATTAGATTTGTTGGAAGTTAAGATCGAAATCAAACGTTGATGTGATATTTACTTCCTAATCTCACTCCTTGTTTAATTTAACTACCATTGTATTAGAATTGAACAACTTGTTAAAGAAAAAGTGAAAAGAATATTATTAAGCAGGTTAAATCCATAATGATGGATATCGAACTGGATTGTCCAGTATTAAGAAAAGAAAATTTTCTTAAGAGGGAAATCTAAAAAGTAAAATAGATTTCTAAACATGAAGCGGAAATTTAAATAATGAAAGTCATTAGAAAAGAAAATTGTAAATGTTACATTATGTCACTTAATAAAGAAATGTCTTTTGAAGACAGTTCACCCATTGATTAGTAGAGTCTACTAATGTGAATGATTTTTATATATGATGTATTCATTCTAGTTTATCTTTACATACTTACAAATTTGTTGTAAGAGTACATGAAAAGCTTAACTTTGACAATGAAAATAAAAGCTCTAGTTTCAGCATTGTAAATAAAAATAATAATAATAAGAAATTTGTTTCTGTTTTGAATGAAGGGCATGAAATAAAATTTAAAGATTGTCTTAATGTTTCTTAAAGTTAGAAGAAATTTGATTTCTATTTTGTAAATTTTTTGTAGTGATTTTCTATTTTCTTGTAAAATAGAATTTCTATTAAAAGTTTAGAAATTGCTTTGTTGATAATTATGAAATTAAAACTGTTTATTTTCATGATTGCCACCCTTAACTCTTATGTAATGTAATGTTATTGGAATTGATAAATCTCTTAAAATATAGATTGGATCAAGGTAATCCAACTTATCTTTGGCACAAAAATACAAGGTCATGTTAATGTTGATAAGATCAATAAATTGATAAAGGATAGTCCTTTGATTTTTCTAAATTAGAATATTTCTCAACTTGTAAATATTTTCTAAGAGACATATGACCAAACTATTTTTCTAAAATAGTGCTAAAGCTCTTGCGTACTCTTGACTTCATACATTCAGAT